ACTATGCGACTTGAAAATCGGATTCAAATAGACGCATGATCCAAGTGCCACGTAGTGGGCAGGCTCATGTTCGGCTACCATTCTCATCCGCAGCTCCCGCATGCAGCTTTGGCGTCGGCGCAGGAGGTACACACTCCCATGCACACGACCATTGTCATCCTGGCCTTCGTCCACCTTTGCGGCACGTCCTTCATGGTCGTCCTTGGCCTCGGCGCATCATATTGCTCGCCATCGTTCAAGTTCTTCGCTCTACGGACGCGCTCGCTTCTTCCTCCATGCAATCGTCGTCGTCGTCGTCGCACCCCTCATCATGCTCCATACTCCCTTCGTCGCTTCCTCACACCGTCGCCCGGGCCGTCCTCGTCCCATCGTCCAAGTCTTCCTCGCCCCGTCGCCCGCGTCGTCCTTGACTGCATAGTCCAAGGCTTCTTTTTCGACCCGACTTGGCGATTGTATGGAAAGTTGGGCCACGTGGCGATACAAACCGCAAGTGTAAAATCTGCCGGATACGTGGCGTGCTTTCCGGACTCGCCCCGCTGTGTTTGGTCACAAGCTCTTTTGCCATGTTGGAGTACGATAATTCGGCGTTCTACTACTTTGGCATCTCGCTCGGGTCGCTCTACGCGATCCCGCTCACGTACTTGAGCCTCAAGCGCATCATCTACGGCGTCTTCCTCAAGGACAAGTTGCTTGACCAGCTCGACGTGCGCTGCGACAAGGAGCTCCAGAAGGTCCGGCAGCTCCAGGCCGAGAAGACGTCGGTGCGCAAGGTGTTCAACGTGGCCTTTGTCATCAACCTTGTCGTGCTTGCGGTCATGTGGTATGGCCTCTACACGATGATCATGCTCGTCAAGGACGACTCGGAGATCAAGACGTTTGACCCGTTTGCGATCCTTGGCATTGCAAGCGGCGCGTCCGAGCAAGAGATCAAGCGCGCGTACCGCAAGATGAGTCTGCTCTACCACCCGGACAAGAACCCGGGCGACTCGGTCGCCGAGTCCAAGTTTGTGCTCGTCGCCAAGGCCAACCAGGCGCTTACGGACCCCGTCGCCAAGAAGAACTTTGAGATGTTTGGCAACCCGGATGGCCGCCAATCCCTCCAGCTCAGCATTGGCCTCCCGACGTTCCTACTCGACAAGGACAACCACATGGCGATCCTCACCATCTACCTTCTCGTGCTTGTCGTCGCGATCCCGTCCGCAGTCGCGCTCTGGTACTCGCACTCGAAGCAGTACGGTGACAGCATGATCATGTACGACTCGTACGGCTTCTACAACTATGCGCTCTCGGAGCACGCCCACTTGAAGATGATGCCCGAGATCCTTGCCGGGTCGGCCGAGTACCGTGAAATCCCCGTCGTACGTCGTGCTTGCATCTCGCACCAAGGTCTAATATGTATCTTTTCGTAGCGCCCGACCGACCAGGGCGAGCTCGGTGCGATCTTCCGCGACCTCAAGAACGACCAGAGCATGGCCAAGGCCCGCTTCAACCACCCGGGTATCGCCAAGTCGAACCTCCTCTTGCACGCGCACCTGCTGCGCAAGCCGCTGAGCGCGGCGCTCCAGACCGACCTCAACACGATGCTCAAGAAGGCGATGCATTTGATTGATGGCATGATGGAGATCTGCGTCTCCAAGGGCTGGCTCCAAACGATCGTCAACGTCATTGAGTTTGAGCAGCACATCACGCAGGCGCTCTGGGTGAAGGACTCTGCGCTCCTCCAGCTGCCGCACTTTACCGAAGCCGAGGTCAAGCACACGATGACGGGCAAGAACGGCATCCGTAGCCTCCAGCAGTTTATCGACGCGCCCGAAGATGCGCGCCGGGGCATGAACAACATGAGCGAGGACGAGAAGGCCGAGGTCAACCGTGTGTGCTCGATCCTCCCCAACATTGATATGGAGATTACGTGCGAAGTTGAAGACGAAGATCAGATTGCCGAGGGCGACATTATGACGGTCACGGTCAAGCTCACGCGCAAGAACGTCGAGGAAGGCGAGACGTGCGACCTTGTGTACGCGCCCGAGTTTCCCGTGCCCAAGGCCGAGCGGTGGTTCATCCTTGTCGGTGACTCGCGCTCGAACCACTTGCACGCGTTCTCGAAGATTACGTCGCAGGAGCAGGTCGTCGAGGAGAAGCTCCGTCTCCAGGCGCCGCCCAAGGAAGGCCAGTATCAACTTGATATTTGGCTCAAGTCGGACTCGTACTTGGGTCTTGACCAGCGCAAGGCGATCCGGTTCCAAGTCGTCTCGGCCGACTCGCTCCCGGTCTTTGAGGCGCACCCGGAAGACGTCGAGCTCGACAATGAGCCGACGCTCTTCCAGCAGGTCATGCAGCTGCAGGAGGACTCGAGTGACAGCGAAGACGACGACGACGACGAGGACAAGAAGACCAAGTAGACGTGCTGCGACGAATATATTTCCGTGTGTTTCATCATTCCACTGCAGAGTTGATTGTGGGTGGAGCGCTCTCGGGCGGGAGCGCCACCAAAAATCGCGTAGGCGCACGGCCGGTCCCTCGGTCGGTGGCACCGACGCAATGGCCACTTCGTCGGCGAGTCGGCGCCGCCACGCCGACGCAAACGCGGTCCACTCGCGCTTGCTGAAGACGCCGTGGGTCTGCGTCTCTTGCGCGTGCAGCCATCGGTTCGCGTCCTTGGACTTGGCCATTACCGGCGACGATGGCTTGGTGGCGCTCACGGCAAAGGCAATGTGCAGCCACGGAAGGAGGGCGTCCGTGTTGTCCATGGGTGCGCGGCGCAAGAGCCGTGGCACGGGCGCTGCGTGGACAGCGACGGCAAAGAGGCGGCAGCAGAGCGCGCAGAGCTCCGGGTGCGAGTTGGCGACAAACGAGTAGAAGGAGCTGACGTCGTCGAGGTAGTCGCGCGTGACATCCCCATCAAACGGGAACGACTTGGCGTCGACGGCGGCGAGGACATCGTCGATCGTCGACGGTGCGATCGGTGCGTGGAACCAGCGACCGTACATCAGCTCAAAGTACGTCGGCACGAGGCTGCGCACGGCGGGCGAGAGTTGCAGATCCAGATGCACGTTAAAGATGCAAGCCAGCCCCATCGTCGGGAGGTCGTACCAGCGCCAAAAGCTCTCGAGCAGCCGTCGCATGGCTTCGTCGTCGCCGAAGTGTCTGTAGAGCCACGCTAATGTATGCACGACGTGGGTGAGCGTTGGACACTTGCGGGTCATGGCCGCGTGCAGCGGTCGTAGACGCTGGAGGAGCGCCCGCAGGGCGCCCCATGTCGCAGGGTCGTCGATATAGGCGCGGAGGGACGGTGGTAGCGCGACGTCTGCCATGGCGTCTTCCAGCTGCACAAAGGCATCCAGCGTCGCGACGATCGAGTGGACGTCGTTGGCCAGTGCCACGGGCGGCGGCACGAACGAGATGGACGGGTGCCGAAGGTAGCTCCCGACCTCCATCATCGCGCCCAAAAGAGCTTCGTAGCGCTCGTCGGTGACGAGGAAGCCAAGGAGCATATCGAGCACGTGGTGGAGGCACGGCAAGACGAGGAGGTCAGGTGCGCTTGCAGCCTGGAAGCGCATCGCGGCTTGCAGCGGCAGCATCGCGTCAGCGACGATGGCAATAATCGACACGTTGCTCTGGCGCAGCGCGCTGAGACAAGCGCTCACGTGGGCTTGCAGCTCGGCGACGGTCCAGTCGGTGACCGACACCAAGGAGAGCGCGCAGGCGTCGCCGTCCGAGTTGATGAGCGAGAACGAGACGAGGTGGGCCCCGACGCCTGCGGCTGCCACGCGTTGACGCTGAGCGTGAGTCCGCCCTTGATCGTTGAGTTGAGCATTCCTTCTTTGACCTTGTCGAGCTGCGCTTTTGCAAGACTGGACGCGACCGTCGCAATGTCCCCGAGCGGCGACGGGATGGATAAGAGCGACGCGATCAAAGGCGCGCGAGTCCAGTGCAGAGGAAGACTCGCAGAGACAGTCGCCTTCCACAGCAGCGTATCGGGCGCGTCTTGGTTGGGGCGGCTCGGTTGCTTCCGTTTCACCGCGGTGGGCGTTGTCTTGGCGCGATGGTGGCACTCGGCCAAGTACGCTTCGAGCTCTTCGACGACGTTGGAGGGCGAGTGCTCGCACTGCTTGAGGTGCTTGATCATGTCGGACTGGACGCCCCGCGTCGAGTCGACGTGCTCCATCGCTCCGTCGTCGTCCATGTCTGCGTGCGCCTGCTTGTAGTGGAGAACGCAGTACCGGCAGTACGCATGGTAGTGGAACCGGTTGCGCTTGGCGCCGCGCAGAAAGTACTGCCATACAGGGTTCGCAGGCCGCCCGGTCCGGCGTGTGTGCGACGGCCGAAGCAGCGGCTCGTTCATGCTGAGCGGCTGGAGCTGGTCGAGCTCGGCCGACGTCATCTCCTCGTTGTTGTCTTCCTCCTGCTCGAGGAGCGAGAGGCCTCCGGGTGGGCTCATCGAGATGGACGCTGGCATCGGAATCGCTTCCATGTTGATCTTACCATCGCCTTGCATGATGACTCTGCCTCCAGCAATCCCGTTGGCTCATGTGTCTAAATCCACGCAACACTAGAGTCGTCGCCGAAATTGTATACGGGAACGCCTCATGAAGCTACTGCGATGGAAGATACCGTGCGCGGCAAGCAAGATGCGAAGCAAGTGATATGCACGTACGCAGCTGCGGCCAGCCTTCCTCGCCAACCGTATCCCTCTCGTCCAGCATCATCTTGGCTCCCTGCATGGGCTCCGTGGCTGTTGCCGGACACGTTGCGTTCGTTTAGCCGATTGCGTACGGATCTCGCAACCGGCATAGCACAACCGGAAGATCGACCATGCGCATCTCGTTCGAGCTGCGCGGGCAGAAGGCGAAGCGCGCCTCGTGCAAGCGGCCGCCGGGCGCGCCAATGCAGCTGCAAGCGCCCATCACCATTCCCAAGCGCGTCGTCAAGCGCCATTGGCGGCAGATCGTCGACGCGGTGGCCATGGCCAGCGTCGCGCGAGCGTGCTCCAGCAGCGTGCAGCCGCCACAGTGCGAGTCTCTGGTCCGCGCGTTGGCCAATCCCACACTTGCCGTAACAGTAGGCTCGCGTTCACAGCCGGGCGTATGATCACGGTCGCAACGGCGTAGCACCATGGGCTCCCGCTTCACGCGCTACCGGACTTGAAGAGCTCGTGCGTCGTGTTCTTGTTTCGTGAGGGCTTTCTTTGCCGCGGCGTCGCACGCGCCGAGGCGGTCGATGGCTACGCGCAAGCCTACGACGATGCTTCGAGGTACGACCGCGCGACTCTCTTGACAGCGTTTGAATGCCACACAACAGCGCGTTTTTGCTGGCGCTCGACAGCGGCGTCATTCCGGCCGGCCTCACGACCTTGGTGCAACCCATCGGATTCGCTGTTTCCTTCTCACATGCGACCGCTGGGTGGCGTAGATGCCATGCATCTTCTACGACAATTGCATCCTCGTCGACATCTGGGACTACCGCGGTGACGAATCAATTTCAGTCCCGACGACGTCAGCCGAGCTCCCACGCGAGGCGCCAAGCAGCAGAGTAGTACGCACGCGTCGACTGGTGCTGCGCGAGTCGCTGAGCCATTGTATGCTGCACCGCGAGCAGTTTGTAGAGGCAGCGGCGCCAAACGCACCGGCTGGGTTGTGCGTCGAGTTTGAGGCCGCGCTCCTACCGCACGTGCACCCGAATGACACGCTGTGCTGGGACCCGACGCCAGATGTCTTTCAAGCCGCAGCCGCGCTTGGACTGAGCAGCCACGTGGGCCAAGCGGCAATGCTGCGTCGATTGGGCATTGGCGCTGCGTGGCAGTACGCGTCGCTCGGCTGCCCGCCGGCTGTATCGACACCCATGGCGATGGCGACAGGGACGCTTTCCATGAGTAACATCGCCAAGCCGCCATCATCATCAAGAAGTCCAGGTAGAGCGACCGATCGTGTTGTACAGCGAGCGACGGGATGCGTAGCAGCACCCGAGGAAGCGGAAGGTCCGTTCTCGACAACGCGCGTCGCTGTCCCGAGGCCAATCCTACCACCGTCGTCGGCTTCGTTTCTCGCCGCGGCCACGCAGTTGCGGACAGGCTTGGTGGCCACGTACGAGGTACTATGCGTCATCTTCTCCTGTATTGCGTGAGATCAACACGGCCACTGTGTGCATCTCTACACCAACCATGATCCGGGCTAATGTGTGTTGTAGTGTGATTCTGGGCAGGCGAATCTGGCGCCCCCAGAATTGACGACGACGACGTCCCACGCAAATCCTAGTCGACAGGCGTACTACGAGTTGCAATTCGATAAAATCTTGGCGCTTCCATATATTTGGCGTGCCACGTTGCTAACGATGTCGACGGCGTCTGGTTTCGAATCCTCGCAGCTGAAGCCGTCGGATCTGCACCTGGTGAAGATGTAGCGCCCTGACGTGGCAAGGCGACGCTGGCCTTATCGACGATGAGCGGCCGGTCGCGTTCCATGAAGACGAGGCAGAGTGGCACCACCGTGGGTGGCGGCCCACGAATCTGCCGCAGCTGGCGCTCGCCACAGATGGCACGGACGACTCGACATCGCGGCCACCGTCGTCGACGCCGCCGTCCTCGTCGCCGCCGCTCGCCGCTCGCTGCCGCTGCTACCCACGACCGACGAGGGGCCTGCGCGCTCGGGCGCCGCCGCGTCGATCGAGGACCGGGACGTACGACCAAGTCGCACGTATCTTATGTGCGCCGATCACTTGCGGCGGCCAATCTGGTTCCCACGGCTTCTCGCCGTTCGAAATTTCAGGTTCGATATTTTAATGCAACGCCGTGTTGAAGCCGGCGACACCATACAAACATCAAGTGCAAATACAATGTCACTCTTTGGGAGGATTGTTTTTCGAAACGCTTTTCGGTTTTCCGGTGCTTTTAGCAAGGCCGCCAATGGCATCATTTTGCAATCCTCGCCCAGCGTACGAAGATGTCGATGACCATTGTCGTGCCACCGCCCAGCCTCGCCGACGACGCGCGCGGATCGCCCTTTGCGATCGCATCGCTCCTGAACCCTGTGCACATCAAGTCGGAGCCGCTCGCGATGCGCGCGCTCACGTTTGCCAAAGACCTCACGGGCGCCTACGGTCTCCTGGATCTGCGCCGCGACACCCAGTGCTTCCTCTCGACCTGCAGCCGCGAAGCCACGATCGGTGGCCTCTGCCGCGACCATACGTGCGCGGTGAACGGCTGCCGCAACATTAGCGTCCTGGACGGCATGTGCCGCTTCCACAGCGTCGGCGAAGAGTGTGCGTCGCTCATGACGCCGCGCATGAAGCTCGAGACGAAGCGCCACGCGACGAGCCCTGTGGGCAAGCCGCTCCCGAGCGTCGTCATGATGCAACCCATGGCGTCCAAGGTCTACGTGCGCTCGCGCTACTGCAAGGTGGCCGATTGCCACAAGCTGCGCCACAAAAACGGTCTCTGTGTCGCCCACGGCGGTGGCTGGTACTGCAAGGTCGACGGCTGCACCAAGCACAGCAAGGCGAAAGGCCTCTGCTCGGCGCACGGCGGCATCCATTACTGCCGCGTCGAAGGCTGCACCAAGTACCGCAAGAAGAAGGGTCTTTGCATTGCCCACGGCCGCGACGTGTTTGGTCGCAGCGACAGCATTGGCTCGTCGTCGGACTAGATATGCTGTCCGATACGGCCGTTTTTGTCACGGCGCCGCGCTGTTATTTTATTCGTGCCTTGTACTATTTATTGTCGGTTTTGCTTCCTATTTTAACGCTTCTTGAAATTCAATTTTGTTCTTAACGGTATCTCGTCGTGTGGCCTGTCGCCTTCCCGCCAGTGTGTGGGACGATTCGACACCAGCGCGCCAGATCGTAGCGTGCAGCTGCCCGTGACCAATCTGCGGCGTCGACCGACCGGCCCAGGCCCGGGTTGGACCAACGCCGTCGTCAGAAATGAGGATCTCATCTCTGCGCCCAGATCCCACGACCCCGCTTCTGAAGCGAATCTTCAAGCGACCGCCTCTACTATCCCTGGACCGTGCCACGTAATCCAAAGTACGTCGTGCGACCATGTAGTGCAGCTGGTCCTCCTTTGTCCAATCCTGGCGGCGTAATGCTGGCGGAGGAAGGACCGTTGCGCTGGCGTGCGAACTGGGAAAAGCCGACGAGACGGGACAGGTTGAAGCTACCGACATCGGACCAGGCGCCTTTCCAACGTCCATATCACACTATTTAGTATAGTAGATGCAAATGGTGTGAAATAAGATCCCATTGCTTGCGAAAGGTCGCGGGCATGGACGACCTTGGAGCGATCGTGCTCGACAACGGGTCGGGCTGCATCAAGGTTGGCTTCTCGGGCGAAGACACACCACGTGGCATCTTCCAGACGTCCTTGGGCACGCCACGGAATCCCGAGTGGCTCCTCTCGCACCACAACGGGCTCAAGCCCGACCGCGATTTCTTTGTCGGGAAGGAGACGGCAAGCATCCGCGACCATCTCGAGATTGTCGACCCAATCTTGCGCGGCAACGTCACGGATTGGGATGCCATGGAGAAGGTGTGGGACTACACGTTTGAACGCGAGCTGCGCATGAACCCCGAGGCCATCAACATGCCGGTGCGACCATGGATCACACGCCTTCTCCGACCTTGTTTGCGTAGGTGCTCTGCACAAGCGCGCCGCCGGCATCCAAGGCGCAACTGGCCAAGACGGCGCAGCTCATGTTCGAGTCGTACAAGGTGTCGGCCTTCTACAGCATGCAGCAGTGCGTGCTCTCGCTCTTCGCGTCTGGTCGGACGCGTGGAATTGTCGTCGAGGCCGGCCACGGATCGAGCCACGCGGTGCCCATCTTTGAGGGCTACGCGCTGCCGCATGCGACGCTGCATTTGCAAGTCGGCGGCATGGACATCACAAAACACCTCGAGCTCCTCATTAGCAAAAGCGGGTATGCGCTCAAGCTCCAGCATGTCTCGGTCTTTGCCGACATGAAGGAGAGCCATTGCTACACGATGACAGGTCGCGACGCGCCACTCAACGAGACCAACAAGCCGTTTGAGCTACCGGACGGAACGGTCATCACGATCAACAGCGACTGCCGGTCCAAGGCCACGGACGTTCTCTTCGATCCGTCGGCGCTGCCCGACGATCATCCTGCCAAAGAGACCAAGAGCTTGCCGGACCTCGTCGCGCAGAGCATCTCCATGTGCGACAAGGATCTCCAGCGCGACCTTCGCGGTGCTGTGGTCCTCGCTGGCGGCACGACCATGATCCCAGGGCTCGCCAAGCGACTGCACCACGAGCTCCGCACGAAGCTCGTCGAGCCCGACATTCGCGTCGTGCCAGACTACGAGACGCGCGAGCGAGGGTACAACACCCACCGCAAGATCGCAGCGTGGATCGGCGGCTCCATGTTTGCGTCGCTCCCAACGTTCAAGGACATCCAGATCACACGACAAGAGTGGGAAGAGTACCACGAGTCGATCTTGGATCGCAAGTGCTTTTGATCGTGATTTCGTACGCAACTTCATATACATAGATATAGCGTTCTTAGCACGTGCAGGGGTCGCGCATCGCGTACTGCATCAAGTGCAGGAGCAAGAGCACAAGCATGACAGCGTTCAAATTGCCATCTGCGCAGCAGGCCATGAGTCGTTGGCATAGTGTACATCAAACACAGGCACGTACCGCCAAAGACTTCGTGCACAGGTGGCGCGGCCTCGGCGGCAGTTCGCGGTGCGGCCGCGGCCGCGACGCAGCCCGGCGTCGGCGTACTTGGGTCGCGCGGGTCCTTCATGACAGCAAGTTGCACTTTGACATACCGTTCCATACAAATCGCAAGATATTACATTTATCGAATGTGGCCAGGATTTTCGAAAATCGCCGACGCCATCCAAATTCGAAGCAGCTGGCTCCGAGGACGACGCTTCTCATGGCCAGTGGGCAGCGACGGCAAGGGTCACGTCAGCCCTTGCGATGCCGTTCGACCTTGATGTAGTTGCGATCTGCGAGCTGAATGACACCCGAGCCTTCTCATCTTATACCGGTACCAACAGGCCAACGCCTTTCTACGGCGGGCCACAGTCGCATACGATTTTGTGTACTCTGCCGCTTTAAGCAGTGTCGACTCTAGTGCTCTCATCGGACAACGCAATGGTGCCGAGGCGATGGGAGCCTCCAGGGTCTCCATACTTTTGCACGCAGCAAAGAAGGGGCAAGGGCTAGGGGTCAAGCTAAAGGACAAGCCGTTGCCATCCGACATACACGAACACTCAACTCTGGACTAGGCCCACCATGCTGTGCCCTATTTATAGTCGTCAGCAGAAAAGGCGGCGGTTAATTTTGAATCTGACGTCATGAAGGTGGAGCCTGCGCCGCGGCTTGCGGACCTCCTTCGCCAAGCCATGCCAACGACGGCGCCACCGCCCGCGTACACATCGTGCCGGGACCGCGTCGAGATGGTGCTTGCTGCCTTGTACGTGCTCTGGACGGTTGCCTGCAGCGCACTGTACGTGTTATTGATCCATCCCAGCTTTGCAAACGACGCTGCCTGGGCCGGCTTCAACGCCTCCGCCCATCAAACGTACTTGGCCGACCTCGTCGTGACACTGCAGCGCTACAACCGGTCGCTGCTCGATACTGGGCTCTACCTCGACTACAACACGAGTTTGGCGCTCCCCAAGACGTACTTCGCACTGCCATTCTCGACGATACGCATCGAGGACAGCACGGCGTGGGCGCGGGACCTATGGTTGCGGCCCATGCCGGTGCACGCAGCGATCAACATGCTACGGACCGCGCCGTCCCGCGCCATCGAAGCGCTTCCGACGCAGTTCTGCTGGGCAGATTTGGCGCGGACAATCCCTTTTGCCGGGCTGGCTGCCTCGTGCAACACTACGAGAAGCCAAGGCAACGCCGCCGTGTACCTCGAGGCTGTGCTGCGCAACGTCCTGCCGTCCGCTGATCGAGTCGCGCTGCTCGCACGCATCAATGCCACGATTGCGAGTCCGCTCGGGCCTCGCGGACGCGCGTGGCTGGCCACATTCGCCACGAGCGCTCCGCTTAGCGTCGCCGACGAAGCCAAACTCTGGGCCCAATGCGGTCTTGAGACGTGGCAGTTCCAATACGACGACGCATTTGACGCGCACTTGACGGCGACGGTCGTTCTTCGCAATGCCCTCGGCATGGAGTACCCGATCACGATCACGCCTCGTCGGTGGCTGCCGACACCGCCATCCCAAGCCATCGGTTTCTGGGCCGATGTAGCCACGTGTGTCCAACTGGACTGCGCGCTCGTCCATGGTACATCAAAACCGACAGGCGCGTTGACGTCCACTGCCATGTACGCGGTGCTGCAGCCAGCACCGTGGAGGCTGCAGATGTACTTTACACGCTTCCAGCTCGCCTTTACAGCGCTCCGGGTGCAAGATGGCGCGTCAGTGCGATTGATGCCGGGACCAGCACCAACGTTCCTGCAACGCGCGTGGTGCGCAGCTGATGCCACGCTCTGTCCGACCTCGGTGTCTGTCGCGAGTATGGTGTTTGCGATGCTACTGCTGGCGCCCAACGCCACGCAGCCACTCGCTATGCATCGCATCTGCGCCAGTGACACCACCGGTACATGTGTCGCGGCGCTTGCATCGCTGGATCCGGTGCACCGCGCGCTGCAAGCAAGGTTGTCCATCGTCGACGCGGTCGCTGCACGCAACGCCACGGCGCGTCTCACGCTTGCCACTGCCGACGCGCCGTCGACGACGATCGCACTGGACAGTCTCAATGCTTGGCTTTTACTGCACGAGTGGCTACTCGGGCACCGAGAGGCAAGCTTCTATCCAGCAACGAATATGACGGTGCTATCCCAACCGCTGGCCGTCGGCGCGCCATCGGTGGCCAACCCCAACGAAGTGCCGGTCGCCACTGGCTCGCTTCTCATCGTCCTAGCATGCTACACGTCGGGCGTACTCGCGACGCTTGCGCTTGTCATCGGTCTCTTGGCGCTGCGCTACCGCCCGTCGTACGCGCCGCGGCTCAACTTTCTGCACTTTAATCGCCTCGTGGGCTTTTCGTGGCTCGGTCGACCCGCGCTCTTTCTGCGGAGTCTCTCTGCGTTTGTCTATCTAAGCACGGCAACGACCGTCATGGTGACTTCACCCTCGGGCTATTCGTACTTGCAGGCGGCGCCCAAGTCGCTCCTTGCCGTCGCCGTTGCGTCGGGCGAAGCGACGTGGCTCGTCTACCTCCTCCAAGACGCCTGCGCACCCGTGACGGTGCTGCACCGCGCCGCACCCGTCGGGTCGTTCCTTGCATGGTTCGTTCTCGTACTGGTGTGTTATTTCCACCCGGTTGGCATCGAGCTCTACCTCGACGCAGAGGCGTGCAGCTACACACTGACCCCGGCCGTGGCCACATGTGCAGCTGGTGTCGTGTACGTCGGCAGCCTCCAGCGCGTGCTACTGCTCATCGCGATCAACGCCACGAGTGTCTGTGTCGCCTACTATATCTTGCAAGTGTCCAACTATTACTACTACTGGTGGTGGTGGTTCCAGGCCGTCGAGCCGTCGGCGCCGCCGCGAACGCTTCTCTTTTCCGCGTCCGTGCACGGCATCCTCGTCGAAGTGCAGGCGCGCCGGACCGCGCTGGCGTCAACATTAGACGTGCTCTCGAGTACGCTGGCGGGGTATCTGCCCGGTCGCCACCACGTCTTTGACGTGAATCTCTGGGTCTTTACGCCCAACATTGCCAACCCGGCGCAGCACACGGTCGGGCTTCGAACGCCGACGTTTGCGTGGCCCGTCGTCGTGCGCCGGGGGCCATCCTGGTCGACGCTCCTATCGACCGGCGCCTCGGTGACAAACCGTCGCTGGCGGCTCCTCCGTGCCAGTGGCGGTGTCATCTACGTAGCGCTGACCGTCGCGTGCAGTTTTGGGTATCTCACCCTCGCATCGTCGGCCTTCTCGACGGCCTTGTTCTCGGCCAACTTTGACGCAGCGCTGCACCTGCCGCTGCTGGCACAGTGGTTTAGCGCCCCGCTGTCCATCACACACGACGACCATCGACGTTCAGCACGTCGCTCCTCGAGAGTCAGCTCTGCAACGAGTCGCGCATCTGGTCGTCCGCGCTTGACGGAGCACGGCTGCACATGGAAGCGACGCTGCCTGCCGTCATCGCAGGCCTGCGCTCGATGGACATCAACCTTTTGCCGTATATTTTTACACCCTACTGCTTCCTCGACTTCAACCAGACGTGGGAGATGGCAGCCTCAAGCGCGCGCCAAAGTCGGTGCTACTCGCCGGTCTTTGCGAGAAACGGCGCCGTGTACCTCGAGAGCCTCCTCGGTAACACCAACTGGGACACCGTCGCGCGTGCTCCGTCGTGGCGTGGGCTCAACAGCAGCATTTTGGACCCGCTTCGGACCAGTGACCGCGGCCGTGCCTGGATAACACAGACCGCCGACAACGGTGCAAGATCGTCCATTGCGAGCGAAGCGGCGCGCTGGGAACGCGCGGGCATCACAGCGTACTTGACGCAGTGGCAAAACTACAAGGTGCTCGGCCTCCGCGCCACGTACGACGTTGTGACAGCGTACGGTGCCACGTATGCCCTGTCGCTCACCACCATCGATGCAACGTTCCACGTCCGCGACCAAAGCTGCTTGCACATGTACTGGGGCTTTGCAAGCGACCTCTACGCCGTGTCTTTGAACCTATCGACGATCCATGGCAGGTCTCTTCTCCGCACCAGCGCGTTATCGTCGTTCGCCTACGCTGCGACGTCGATCGAGGACGTGCTGGTGGAGCAAGGCCTTCTCGCGACGCCACTCGACACAAGCTACGCCATGGTGCGCGCGGCGCTAGGACCCTTCGGTACGATCGACATGCTGCGCGTCCGTCCGCCAGACACACTCGTCGCCTTGTACAAGAGTTTGGCGCAGAGCCTTCTCATTGCGCTCGATGCCAATGCTACAGCACATACGCAGCTTGCATCGATACCAGTGCTTTGGAATGCGTCGGCTGTCCCCATGGAATGGCTCGGTCGTAACGGAATGGGCATGGACATCTTATGTCCATCTCGACCCTCCACGCCACTGCACAACGGCCTTCCATCGTTTTTTACCGCGCGAGGCGGCTGTTCGAGTACGCGTCTCGAGTACGCTCGCTTGGATCCACGCACGTTGGTCTACCTTATCTTGGTCATGGGCGCGTCGCGTGTCGAGACGCTGGCCACCGACATCTGCGCGCAAGACGTTCGCACGCCGCACAACTGCCTCGCGTCTGTTTACGCAGCGCTATCTTTTGTTTCAACGTTTCTCGCATCATCGGACGAAGGCGATGTCCAACTACAGGCGAAAACGCTGGTTGCAGAGGTCTCGCACATTGATATCGCGGGCTTCCTCGCCAACACGTCGACGCTCAGCCGAATGGGACTTGTCGCGTCCGAGCCGTATAATTTTTTGGCTGGGCAATGCTGCTGCAGTGGGTGCAAGGCATGCGCGAGGTGGTGAGTTTCCAAGGCGATCTGGCTTCGCTCACACTGATTTCAACGTACGTCGATGGTGTCGTCACAATCGCGGGCCGCAACAACGTCCCGCACGCCGCGATGCGCTACCTGACGCCGGCACTTTTCACCTTCTCCGTCGGTCTTCTCTGCGTTGCCGTGCTTCTCTTTGCGTACACACTCGCAATCGCGGGGCAAGTGGAGGGCTACAACTTTCTTCAGTTCAATCGCGTTGCCGGTGCCGTCTGGCTTGGCCGACCGCTGCAGCTCGTACGCGGCTTGACAGCCCTCGTCGTGCTCTCAACAGGCGCGCTGCACGTTGACACCACAAATGGCCGCACGCGGTTCATCGCACCACCCGTGAACGTTTTGTGGGTCCTTGTCGCAGCGGGCGAGACCTCCTGGCTCGTCTACGTCGCCAACGACGTCTTCTCTATGGTTACGGCCGCACACACGCAGTCGATCGCGATCAAGACCAGCCTTGTGTCCTTTCTTGCGGTCAGTACTTGGACGTTGGCGGCGCCGATCGAGCCCATCGTGCACGTCGCGCGCTCGTGTTCAACGCCGATCGTCGACGGCCTCGTCGAATGCGCGATGGGGAATGTTGAAATCGGTAGCTTCGATCGATGCCTCGGGCTCCTATGTGTCCTGGCCGCGTCGTTTGTTGCGAGTGCGGTCTCCGAGTGCGTCGTGAGAGGCACTTTGCTGCGCGGCGCGGCGTCACTCTTCCTGCACGCGACAGCAGGGCGCTTCTTTCGGGGCGACGACTGGCTCTTCCACGGCGTGTACTGCTTGGACCGCGCGTCGGCGCTTCTCAATGGCGTCCTCTCGTTCGAGCGAGCAGACATGCTGTATGTGTTTGATCTCAAGACGTGGCGCGGCTACAAGGTCCCGACGCCTCTCGCCGCGGTCAAGCCAGCAAGGCCGCCAGACCACATTGCGTCGGCCATACCTTTGCTCGAGTAATCAATCCACCTCTCTGTACAGCGAGATGCTTCGTCGGAGGCGGTTTGTCGAATGACGTGAGCTTTTGTTTTGAGATCGGCGCCTTCGGATGTATTGCCATTGGCAACGCATTCCTGTGGTGCCACGTCATAGTGGCAGTACAGGTAGTCAGTCACCTGACGCCGCATTCGCTCGATCGATCGAAGAAGCGTCGTGTTCGATTGACTGACCACTGGTTGGAGGTAGAGAAGCAAGGTTCGGTGTATGGTTCGTGGCCAAACGAAGCCCATCGATGCCGCCGACAACGTCCTGGCCATGGATGTCAACCCCAAGGCCGCATCGTCGTCCGCCTTGACTGCCACGTTGACGGCGTCGACGTGCAGTTCGGACAGTGACACTGCCTATTAGTACAAACAACGCCTTGCCGAATTCAATCTAGTTGACCGACTGAGTCTACCGGGAACCAGGGCCAATCGATGGCGGCACCAAGTAATATCTTTTGTACCCTAGCTCCCTAGCGCGTGTTTCGAACGTCTCAAGGCTGCGCAGCCAAAGGATCGTGATGAGCTTGGGAAGGAGCCTAGGCAAACGGATTCCTTGCGCCCAGCGCGCTGGATGAATGCTCCACCCCGTCGCAGCGCAGTTACTCACGTCGCTGCGATGACTGCACGCACGCAGGCGCCTCCACTATCGTACCGGTACGTCTTCGCAAGACGACAACAAGCGGGCATGCGGCTGCTTGCTCGCAAGTGGTTTCGAGAGGACGACGACGCTCGTTCGTCCTTGCTGCTGCCATCCAGTCGAGGTTAGTGGCGTCGTTGACAGGCACAATCTGGTTCCGCAGCTCTGCGATGAGTTTGCATACTCATGACCGTGGTGGCTTTTTGAGACATAGCGCCAAAATGCATATTTTACGCTTTTTCTCATCGCGGACATAGACGCGGCCCTTATCACAAGCTTCGAACTTCGATGGGTAGTTGAGCTTGGCGGGGTTCCCGCAACAGCTTCGAACTTCGGGGCATCACCCCGTGGCGCCACCTGGCTTTGCGGAGGCGATGGGATTGGCCTGTTGGGACTGTATCTCTGGCGCCGCGAACCGGCGGCAGACACGCATCTCGACATATTGGCCCGTCGAGCATCATGATAGCGTTCGCATGGTTCATCATCCTGGGCATGGTGATCGTGCTCCTTACGGCGCTCGTCGTCTTCCTCATTCTCTTCCGCCGTCGGGACGACGCCAGCGACATGCAGCATGACGTCGACGTGGTCGCCTTCGATACCGAGGCGTCCGACATCTACCGTGAGAACCTCGCCGACAGGTGCGCCATGGCCATGACCGCTCTCCTTCGCCGCTCACGGTCGATGTAGCTTTAGCGACCACAACCTCTGGGACTGCAGCGTCTGCTCGTTCCACAACCACCCCGCCAAGCGCCGCTGCGACCTCTGCCAGACGCCGCGCGGTACGATAGCCACCAGTCGTCGTCCTCGTCGTATAGTATGGCTCATGACGCGTGCAGGGATTGACCAGGGTACGTTCAAGCTCCTCCAGCAGCTTCATCAGCGCGATCTCAAAGACCATGGCCGCATATCCAAAGTGGAAAAACATTGGTGCACGTCCCAGCTTTCCCGCTGAGCAAGCTCCAGATCGCAGCAAGCCGGCGCAAGCAGTGGAAGCGCATGCCGGGCGCCGACGGCCTCCACCGCTGGGTACGCCCTCGCATTGACCTATTTGCATCGACGCCATCCTGTGTTGCAGGTCCGTGAGACACGGAAAGGCCGACAGCGTTCCAACTCGTGCAGCAACCGTGACCCGGTCGA